CATGGTTACTACTGCTGGGATAAGAGATATTTTTTTAATTGAGTTTCGAAACTTGAGATGCTCAGAGTTTTATATTGTACCGGAAGGGTGTTATAAATGGAACAAATTTGGTAGCTGAACGATCGATCAAATTTGGGCTTTTCGGTATCTCGGCTCTTCATGAATTATCTAATTTATTTTATTTTTACGAAAGCAGTGCACTCTAGAAAAAACTCAAGAGTTATTATTTGTAGCAAATTGAAGGTAAAGGTCGAAAAATGGTGCGTTTCAAAGAAACAGTGGCGTACTATTTTTATTTGGAAAAATAATGTCACTAATCCCCTGTATCTCCGCCACTGGTGCACGTTAATTTTAAGTAAAGACTTTTGACTGTGGACAATACTTAGGTAAATCCACATGCCACATTTTATTTACCACGACTTGTGAATCACCCTTTATAACTGCTGTATCCACTACCTTACAAACACCTCAAACCCAATAAATCGGCTTACAGCTAAAAGCACCGAACAATAATTATAATGAACCCAGGATTTCGCCCACCAATCAACAGAAATATATAATGAACATTCGAAGTGAGTAATTAATAAGCGATCATGCAGTTCCATCTCTGTCCGACTTGAATCATACAAAGGTGTAAATACATTTTCCTGAGCGGGGCGGCCTGAATCGTGGCATATCGATCACTCGGGCCTGCTGGCAAGCAAAAGGTGGCAGAGACAAAGAACTCGCACTCTCTGCTGGTCTCTGCAGTTCTGGGATTACTCGTTTTCATCAGTTTCTGTGTACAGTACTATACAAAATAATAAAACTCTAATTGAGAAATTTTTGTAAGGGCAAAAAGAAACGATTTTGGTCAAATGTGATACATAATTATTAGAAGCATCAGTTTCTTAAAGCAATGGAAACGCAAGTAAAATTCATCTTACAAAGCTTGTGCCTAGTAAGTACGTGCCTAGTTTGAGAGGTGGGCTCGAGCAATAAAATGTATGAGACCAATAGTGGCCTTCTCAAACGAGGTATGTATACTAACACAAAATATTCTATTTTACATAAGGCTTCAAGCTCATTTTACATATACTTTACTTAATCCGGGTTTTTTGATACTATATAGGTTTTTTTATAAAAGATGTCAACTTTGAACTAGCTGCTGTTCACTTGATGTGCACTCATTCTGTAGCTGTCATAACGCTTCATCTATCTATGTTTGACTTTGATGTGATGTAACAACTGCTACAGAGATGGCACTATTTTATGTCTAAGCTGTAAGTGTATACTATAGCATTATTTTTTTCCAATCATTTAAATTTTATAGAAATTTATTTTGCGATGTCAAGTAGAAAATACAACTCAACGTCTAGATGTGTGGTAGGTACTGCGAAAATGTGTGTGATCGTGATGCGTCATTCCTAATTTTTCTGTGATGTGGCTTGATTACACACAACGCTGCCGCGGTGGCAATTTCCCTTATTGCTTCTAAAAAATTTTGAAATCGCAAAAAACGGGTAAAATCGTAATTTATAACTTTTCATAAAGAACAATGCGAATAGTTAGATGAGTTCATCGAGTACAGCTAAAAGATATACTTCATGGGAAGCATAATCAGTAATAACTTTCTCACGTAGCAAATATCACTGATTTAATTCATATGCAGACCAATACAAACAATCAACACATAATCCAGATGCGATCTTGCTACTCAACCTATTTTCTTTCTCAGATCTTCTCAGAGATACTCTACAGAGTATCTCGACATTCTGCAACCAACAAAGCACGCTGGCATGTCGTTGACTCTTTCCTCCATAGATGACGCTAGGGTGACGCTCACAGCGCTCATAGTGAGTAATAGTGGAATGAACATCTGTACACTGGGAACTAAGCATTCAGCAAGTTGACATTTTGTCGTTTTTAATAATAACCCTACCGAATTGGTTTGGACTGCTCTACGAGTATCCAAGGGAAGTCGTTTATTGGTCTACTCAGGAACAGAAGCTACATCAGGAGGTACTCAAAATTAATCATTTTTCAATCTTCTAAAATATTTCTGAATATAAAGTTCAGTTATTAAAATGATACAATGAAATTGGCAGAATATAATTTGGCATTTACGTAGGGAGAGAAATGCTACTGCTCAATTAGGCACAGCGGTCAGTAACGGTGCTTTGTTGGACCCGCAATGAAAAAAAAACGTGACACCATTAGAATAAGCTTCGAAATAAACATGACATTTCGTCCTAGAAAACTAGAAACAAGGCAATGTTCTTCAACTTGTATTGATCTAAGCCCACAAAAATATATCAGCTAATTTTTAAGTTTGATTGATAAAACATAGCGTCGAGTAGGTTGAATCCGCACTTCCCACGCAGCGCTGTCATCAGCTCATAAAGGATTATTTGCCACACAAGTTAGCCTCGCAGAGATAAAAAAGATAATTTAATCGTTTATACTTCATGAGGGATGATCTAGCTTTATCGAGTTTTTGGGGTTACTAAGATAAATAGCATGCCAATTTTTGCGAATCACAAAAAAAGATAAAGGGGAAAGGCGGAAACACATTACTGTCACGTCACGCAAGATCACGTATGAGAAGAAAATAAATGGTCAGATAAACCAACCCACAAAAATTTCTGAAAATCAACCAACTAAATCTGATGTTTTGACACTTTTTCATTCAATTTTTCACAAGGATAAAACTGATCCTCCTCCGTATTTTCAAATACATAGCTAGAAATATTGAATCTATGGGAACAGGCGAATATTTTTAACGTGCTCGCCCATTGGGCGAAAGAGATGCGAAGAGAAGAGAAACGACAAATGAGAACTTGTGCGCTGAAGCCACGCGAAGTTTTACGCAAATGGTAAACGTCTGTGCAGTTAACATATCTTCGCGTCTTGCTTCGGCTTAGTGTACTGTTCAAAAATAATAACAATCCTATGAAAGTGCCAAACATAGTGTGAGATATGAAAGCAGCTATGCAATCCGTGACTTTTTGCCAGGGCAGCTACAGAGAGCTGAAGATCTTGAATAAGTATGTAAGCATTATGGACATAGGGGTTCAGAGACTTTTTCTCCACCTTTCCTTGGACATATGATTACTTAGCTGACGCGGATACGTCGGCTGCCTGTTCATCAATAACAGAAAATACCCACGTTGGGATGGAGGAATACATCCCTTATACAGCGAAAGTGCCTAAACCAGGGTCCAGCGACTGGGTCAACAAATCGTGGTACACTGCTGGTCAGCAGAAGATTAAGGCACACAGAATCTTCTTACAAAGCCCCACTGTGGAGAACAGACAAACCGACGTCGAGTCCAGAAATAAATACATATAGAGAAGCGGTCTGCAATGCCAAAGATCAGCACGATAAAAAAATTAGGCACAGGGTAATGTCGCAGCGCAAAGGCAGTCGGTTTTTTGCACGCTGTCCAAGCAGATTGAAAGTAACTGCTCACAGAGTATGACCCAGGATGGAACGATTGTAACCGGCTCAAATGCTAATCCGGAAGTGCTTGCCAAAATCTTTGCTGCCACTCCACCAACGTCCGAGTGACGTCAATTCAAAGGGTTCCCTACACTATGCGGGAACATTCAGGTATAAGACCGTAAGACGACTCTTCTTGTCGCTCGACATCAACAAAGCTTCTGATCTGGACTTGATTAGTGCGGTTGTATTGAAGAGGTGTGCAGCGGAGCTTATTCCATTTCTTTCGCGTCTCTTCCAGATATGAATCCGGCACCTTCCTAGAAAACTGGAAATTTGATCATGCCCAACCCATCTTAAAAAAGGAATCGAAGACCGACCCTTACATCGACAGGCCTATAGCTCTGCTTTCTGTTCTAAGTAAGGTGATGGAGAGGTGCATGCTTCTGGACTACCTCGAAAGTTACGGCTTAATTTGCAGCACGCAGTATGTTTGAATTGTGGAGTAAACTCATCCAGTGAAGCTCATGTCATTGCTCTTGATACTTTCATCCTATGGCCTCTCAGAGAAGGTTTGCAGATGGTTGGCTGATTTTCTCTCTGGTCGCACCATATCCATTGTAATTGAGAGGTTCTCCTCTTCATCCCACAACGTCAACTCTGGCGTTCCCCAGGGAGCGATCTTGGTTCCGACATTGTTCCTCTTACATATCAACGACCTCCTTTCCTGTACGATAAATCCAATCCACAGCTTTGCAAATGACATGCATGAATTCAGAGTTACAAACCGATCTCTGCAGGTCGGCTGGATAAAATAAGACCAGCAGCGACTTTCTCTCTGACGAGAGACCTGGAGGTTATCACTGCTTGGGGACGCAACTCCTGTACAGTTCAATGCTTTCAAACCACAGTACTGTACCTTGAACAAAAACCTCCTAACGCTCATCCGGTTTCGATGGATGGCCGAGTCCAGATAACCAAGGACTTAATCTGCCACGAACACGTCACGTCAATAGCAGCAGCTGCTGGGAAAAAGCTAAACTACTTGTTCAGAAGTACTTTTCTCCACATGACCTCCCCACTATATACAAGGCCCAGATAAGACCCAGTCTCTAGTACTGCTCACATGTTTGGTGTGCTGTCACCCTGACTACATTATCCATTCTCCATGCTGTTCAGAGAAGGGCTGTCCGACTGATCGATGACTGTTCTCTAACGGACAGTCCCGATACCCTTTCGCATTGACGGGCGCTCGGCGATCTAGCTCTCTTCTACCGCTACGCCAATCGACTTTGCTCCTTAGAGCTCTTTTCCATGATGCCGCCGTCCGATGTTAATGCCGGACAGACCAGCCTCATTGGGTCTCCCATCCTAATCGTATCTAAGGTATCGAGATTGTGGAACAATCTAAAAGAGGAGGCTTATCCCAGTTCTACTAATTTTGTGCGCCAAGGAAATACGTAAATATTTTGATTTTACTTTTTTAGAGCAATTCTCGTATGAAAATAACAGACACAGTGTTAAATATGAATTCACCCATGCAATCCATGGTAGCTTTTCGTTTTTTCCACTTTTCCAGTGTCCGCTGTACAGGCGGTTGAAGCTGAAGAGCTTGAAGCTGCGTGACGTGTATCGATCAGAACGGGAGAGAAGAGGTGCCACAGAGTAGGTAGAACAAAGAACTGCCAGTGCACGGCAGGCAGCGGCTGGCGGTTTTTTAAAAACTGCATCGCTAGCTCTGATGCAGCCTGTCATGAAATCCGATTACGAATTATCATGGCTGGGGGGAATTTTATTAAAATTCAATACGGAATTGCATCTTTGTTCAGTTATGAAGTTTAGTTATAATCGCTAAATACTTCGAAATCGACTAATTGTTTTTTGAATGTTCCGTTGAATCATTATACATTACATATTGGCGTCAAGTAGATTGACCATATACTTCCTACACCTTCGTTGGAGGTTTCAAAGAATAGGGATGAGTCAGATATCTGCATCACACAAGTCAGAGTTTCGTATTTTGTCGGTTTGTCAGACCGTGTCTGTTGTATATCAATGCGTCATAAGTACTGAGTCAATCTACTTGACGAAATTATAAAGTCGTACGTACTCCTGGTATCCAAATATTGCTGAAATATATAAATATTTCTCCTGTAGCGGCGTGTCAGTGACAACACCACCACAGGCCAGTTGGCAGTGGTATCCACGACGATGTGCACGCAACGCCAACGATTGCCCAGCTATTTGGAATTATTATTATTATTATACATCGGACTCTTATCATTTAATTTTCCCTTTGTGACCGAGATCAGAAGCTTCTTGATGACGGAACGTCTTTGACTGATACTAGAGATGTTACGTTTAAAAACCCCTACAACTCCCAAGTGTCAACCTCAACAAAAAAATTCAGAAAATGAGTCTCTGAAACGTCAGTATACGAAGTTTAAGCTATTTAAGCTATACCGATTTTCAAAAACCAAAGCAAAAAACATAATATGTCAATTTCGAGTTTTTTCGCGAATACAATACTTCTTCGCCAATTTTGGCATAGGAAGTAAAAATCATTTTTGTCGGTCTATAATCAAATCCAAGCGAATAACCAAAATTTCTGTATTATGTACCGCGGTTATAATATGGTTTAAGATGACACACGGGTTGATGATGTCAGTTACTCGAATCGCTTGAACGTCTTGGTTTTAACCACGGTTTGGTTGCAAGTTGTTTATTTTAGCAAAGCGCGTATATAATTTCTGATTATTTTTATTATTATTTAATAATCGGTGCTTTTTCGTCTAGAACAGTGTACAGAAAGATTAAAAAAGAAACCTTTCATAATATTAATGGGAGACATTTTTTTTCAGGAAAATTTTTGAACGATGGTACCATGCCTTTGTAGCTATGATAACCCTCAATTCTCTAAACTTTGCCGTATGTTAAAGAAAACATTTATTGATTTAGCAGAAATGATAGGATAAAGAGATGAAAAAAGATCTTAGCAAAACCTTATACAGGTGGACATTGTCCAGTGAGTTTATATGGCCATATTTTAATATTCTTGTGGTATATGGCAACACATGATACTTTGTTAAGCATAGGAACTAGATTTAAAGTGTCGCCAACAACAGTAATGAGTATGTCTAATAAGGTGCTCTACTTTATGCTACAACTAAAGTTAGCCTGTATCAATTTTCTAAAAAATGAAGCTGAAGACAACAAAAATATCCAACACTAGCCAAAATTCTAACTTGTCACATTTCAAGTAATAACCAGAAATATAAAACTACTCCCGAGTTGGGTAAATACCACAATTTTACGGTGATAACTATGACATATAACAGCTGATTCATGACGTCACGGGTCTTATAACCAAAGTTGTAACCACACTCGCTTGAACGGATCGGTAAATACCAATCCAAAATGGTAAATACCATTTGCATTTGGTTATTCGCTTGAATTTGATTAATGTGTCGCTAATCATTGGCCCCCCTATCTATTTCGAATATTTATAACAGCTTACTACCATGCCAAGAACTTAAAAGCTTTGTAGGTTTTGGAAAACGAACCTGTCGTGGCGTTTCTAAGTCACGTCTTTCCATATTTTTTTGACGTACTCAAAACGCCTTTGAAGGAAATTTTTTTTAGAATTCAAAACTTTTTTCGGCGTTTATCAACCTTTTCTCAAAAAAATTGTTTAGGGGGCTCTTAAGCCCACCAAAAATTTGAAATTATGCATGACTGATATTTTACTTATCACTATTAACGCTTAAAACTTACTGTAACTAGAATGTTGAATAAATTATATCATTGAAGTTTGTTAGTAGACCCCATCTATACTCGGGAATCGAATAAGAAAAAAGCAGCAAAACATATCAGAAGACCATGCTGACGCGGCATCTTTTTGAATATGCCGGGATACCCGCGCGTTGGCTTTGTCTCATTTCGATGAGGTGATCTGTCTGTCACAATTTTTTGTATCTTTGAAAAATAAGCCTATTTTCCGCTGTTACGTATGGTATGTATATTCTTCAGAAGAGCATCTTTGTTGATTTTAGCAGTTTGTTGTACTAAATACTGGGATAGTTTGGAACGCTGATTTCGAATTCCATACATCATATTCGAGAACTAGACATCCGATTTACCCGACACTGGTTCTGACCTAGATCGCAGATACACCAGATCTTTTGAAAATTTTCCTCCAAGTTATGTTTAAACTTTGAGTTTAACAACGCGATTAGAGATTCATCAACTTAAGCAGCTTAATAGTTTATAAACTAGTTGAAAATAAAATTTCTTGAAACGTTAGAGCTTAACTCGAATTGATTTTTCTATTGATCTACTTGACTTGGGTCATGAATTTTTAAACTATTTGACACTTGCTGGAAAATTATACTTTTGTTCTACTTCAGACCTACAGAGATATTTATTTGTACAACCGATGAGCCCCGTATTTTATATTTTAATGCAAATAATCACCTAGGAAATGGAGCAATATCGCGAGACATCGAGTATACTGCCATCTCAAATGATACACGCGAACAGCGTTGCCAAGCCAAAAAACACGAAATAGGTAGGTACTGAAATTAGGTAGATTCAATGGCAAAATCGGTACGAAGAAAAATCAGGACCGGTGCAAGACCAGCGGTGAATCAAGAGTTTTTTTAGTCACGCAGCGCCATCTATGAAAATGAATTTTCGTATACAAAGGTTTTCTATATATATAAAAACAAATAAAAATTATACTTCAAAAAAAGTTCAACCACTAATTTGAATGTTTTTGGCAATGAACAAAAAATAATGATGATGACCAAAAATGAAACATCATACATAGGACCGCATTTTAAGGCCAAGCCATCGTTGTCTAAACTGATTATTTAACCATGCGGTTATGTAACGACGAACATGCGGTGGGGCACGGTCGTGCTGATACCACATTCGTATTCTCGTTGCTAACGCAACGTCATCTAAAACATTTTCTATGTAATTTTCTAGAAAAGCTAAGTATCAGTTTGCATTTAAACGTTGTCACAATACGTGCATAAACAGTTGGCCATTGAAAATGTCGCACCAGACATTTATAGAAAATGTGTTGAAACGAGTGGATTCTTTCAGAACGGGGATTTTTTAACGACTTCCTCGTGTAAAAAGCGATTCATCTGACCACAAAACCAAATCAATAAAAACTGAATTTTGATTATGCATTTGCAGTAACCACTCACAAAAATTTGTCCGTTGCACTTCGTCGCCGGGTTGCAGACATTGCACCACTGGTGCACGTTAATTTTAAGTAAAGACTTTTGAATGTGGAGAATACTTAGCTAAATTCACATACCAAATTTTAGTTCTTTCCAGTTGGCGGCTTTGAAGATCTTAAAACAAATATTTTTAACTTCACATATTTTTTTGATGAAGGCCTCGAGGAAAAAATGTTACATAGAAGACCCCCCCTTAAAATACGGTCCTGTGTATGATGTTTCATTTTTGGTCACGACTTGTGAATCACCCTATATATTGTTGATAACAGGCACAACTTAAAAATACGCATTATAATATAGGAGGGTCGTTTAAAATCTGGTTAATTGTTACTTCAATTATTTGCAATTAAATTAGTATATTACAAAAATTATCAACTATGTCACAGTTACGTTAATTTTCAAATCCTTCACAGACAGGCGCAAAAAGTACTTGACTTGATATTAGATTGCTAATATATAAACTTTACCCGATTTACTATTGATCAATTTCTGCATCACTTTGCTGGTCAGTCAGTGGCCTTAGGAGGCCAAAGAGAGGGAATGGCGTAATTTTCAAAAAGATTATAGATTGTTTTACTTATGAAAAAGACTACATTATAAATACGAACTTATTTATACGTATAATTGTGTTTGAAAATTATCTCAAATTAAATAATAAAAGCTTTCATGTCATATAAAACAAGCATCACTTTGTGAAATTACTGAACAATTAGCTTTACAATGTAAATGACTTGAACGATATGAGAATCCACAATAAGGTTTATCGTTCCAACGCAATAAATTATCAACTGATACCAATCAGTTGGTTAAGTTTGAGGTTAATTTTTAATCGATGTGTTTAAACTCAATGCTTAAGTTCACTTGATCCGGAACATACAGGTAGATACCTACCAGGATACAACAAAATTGGCTGTTTGGAATTAATAATTAATCATAGCTAGCACAACGTGCTCATCGAAAGATAGAGGCAACAATAAAAATTGTATGAATGGGTACATACCTCTCCATATTTTCAAATTATAATGCATGTTCCTTTATACTAAATACTAGGTTATTCGAAATAGGAATCAACTGTTTATCCTTTCAACAAATGAGGCTAATACAAGCAGATTCCAGAAAAAAAAGTGTTCGTAAAGACTGAACTTACCCGATGACGGCATATCAGGTCCATCAATTTCTTCGTCCGATTCAGTTCCAGAATCGTGATCTTCATCAGCCTATAAAGATGAGTATCGATATAATCAACAATATTTACGTGTAAGTGCAGGCATTAACCAAACTTCATACCAAACACTGATATTGCTATTCCCAAAATTGGTTCCTTAGGTCGGTCATTCTAGATCTTAAAAGTTGTTTTTGAATGTGTTTCTGGTGTATTTTGGGATTCTTAGCTTCCCAATGGATGTCTCTTAAATGTTCTACTTTCTTTATTCACGTATATACTACTATTTTATCCGTATTTTCGCTAGTAAAAAGTTCAACATGAGATTCTTCTGAAGGTCCGGGTTTTTTCATTTATCTAGCAAATAAAAGCCATGTAACAATGACTATAATAGTTTGTTCTCATCTCATTACCTTTCTTCTACTCCTTTGAATAAATATTTTTGTTTGCCACTGAGCAATCAATCTAGAAACTATTTCCAGGCAGGTCTATCATACGTTTATATTATTTCTATTTTTTTTACGCCGAATCAGCCGCGCAGGCAAAGGCCTAAATGCCAGTGCACCGCGGTTGCTATGAGGATCCCCTTTGTCAATCCGATTTTTGAACTGCCGAAGGTTAGTAGAACTGGGAAAGGCCTCATCTTGTAGATTATTCGGCAATCTCGACACCCCAGGGACAAAGGAGCGGTAGCATACGCTAGTTCTGGATGTACGAAATTCGACACGGTCAGGATGGGAGGCCGAAGTCGGGCGGGTCTGTCTGACAGGCACAACGCCGACGGCCCTCCAGTGCGAAAGGGTCCAGAGACTGTTAGACAAGAGTCATCGATCAGTTGGACACCCCTCCTCTAAACAGCATCGGCCATGGATAATGTAGTCGGTGCAGCAGCACCCCAAACATGTGAGCAATACCCGAGGCTGGGTCTTATATGGGCCTTGTATAGAGTGAGGAGGTCATGTGGCCACTATTGACGAGATGTGTTCGTGCCAGATCAGGTCCTCGGTGATCTGGACTCCGACTCGACCATCAATTGAAACAGAATGATGTTGTATGGGATACACAATGCGGCTTGGTCTACTGATATGTTGACTTTGAGTGAATTGTGGCTTGATATCGTTCTACAATTCTGCGTCTTTAGGTGATAATGCAAACCAAAATATTTATTTGGTCTGGTACTGGTCAATACTTTTTAGGAAACAACATTGGTGAGGCCATCACCATGAATCAATTTCTTTTGGCCCAAACTGGGCGATATGAACGTGGATGACGCGCGATACCAAAAGGTCGACGCTGTACGTTATTCACGCTCTGATGACATGAATTCTCCACCAAGATAGACGGATTGACCCAATTAGACATCATCCTATAGGCTTTTCTGACGTTTTACTCAATAAGTCACAATCTGCCGATGTATTCAGAGTCAACATAAGCCAGGTCCTCATCAAAATAGTAATTAGGGTTGACTGTACCCTTGTATTTTTTTTAAGAAAAATGTATTATATAAATAAGAATAAACTTGGGTTTAATGGGTGGATAATTGTCGTCGTTCTTTAATTTTGTCCAAGAGTATACGTGTATGCCCACCTCTCGTCGGTGAATGTATCTATGTAACTTCTCAGAAATTCGCTTAATATTCCTGTAATAATTGTCGATCGAATTCCGTGAAACGCTAGTGAACGTAGCCAAAAATACTACGATAAGATGGAACGACAGCAGGGCGGGAAGAGAGAGGAATCATTACGCAACGTTGCCGACCTATTCCAATATCGTACGGAAGTTGATAGACAATGGGTATGCGAAGTTGCCAAGCGTGATGGGCTGTCTTCAGATTTGCAACTTGCGAAAAGCTCACTTCAGGTTATTTTAGTCGAGATATGTGGCTGTCAGAAGATTGTTTCGAAAGATTATCTTTGCACTTCTAATACATTATATCAACCAAAAAACTAAGACGATTTGTCTTTTTAAAAAGCTACACCTCAGAAACTTTTGTTTAAATATTCTAGGCATAAACTTTATGGCTTCTCTTCACAATCGGCGATTACAAACGATTATGCGCGAGCCCGATCGTGTATAGGGTATATTCGGCTGTACTTGCCGAACATCGTCTATGATCGCCTTTGACCCGTGAGTTGTCGATTTTTTTAACACGCATCAAAGGGAATCGCCGTGTCATATTGATGCTTGCCGTTTGACATATAGGGTTTGTCCGAAAAGTAATAGGACTCATTTTCTTCCGCCATGACTGTACTTCGGAGCCTGCGCGCACCGACTGGATTCGGTAGAGGGCGTTCCTAGCTAACGAGTGAGCGGCTGGTCAGTTGTCTCCGAGCACTTGGAGAGTTCTGTGAGTGGTGCAAGCCGAATATGCAGAGACGTTTGATATGATCAAGCAGGCTTGCCCAGGTGTTGCTTTAGCAAGAAGTGGTGTGTTTCGGTGGCACCAGGCCTTTTTGGAGGGCCGGGAAGAGGTCGCTGATGAAGTTGCACCACGACAACGCCCCGGCTCACACCGCCTTTCTTATGAACAGCTACCTGACCAAGGCCGGCATCCCAACGCTTCCGCAGCCGCCCTACAGCCCAGATGTGCCCCCCCCCCTGGACTTTTCTTTGTTTCCTCGCCTGAAAAGGCCGATGAAAGGCAAGCATTGTGAGACGGCAGAGGGGATACAAGCAGCATGCACCGTGGCTCTCAAGGCTATTCCGGAGAATGCCTTGCGTGACGCCTTCAATGCTTGAAAATCGCGCTGGCAGCGCTGCATCGACGCAGAAGGAGCCTATTTTGAAAGTTTTTAAAGAATCGTAACGATTGGCTCAATAATTTTTTTTAAATCGACTCAGTCCTATTACTTTCCGGACAAACCCTGTACTACTACGGACGCTCATGTGGATGCTTGCTCGATTATCCTGCCTATTATGAACGACTACACGATCATCGCCGATAGTGAAGTGCATGCATTACGCGCGACAAATATTCATTTAACTGTCGTACATTGCAAATCGCATGGATTCAATTCGTATATCTGCAGTTCATACCAACAACCGAAACTCCATGAGTAAATGATACCTTCCGAGTGTCGAGTAAAATTGGTTGCTTTATACAAAATCATATATGATCACTGACAAGAACTGACATCTGTTTGAGTCGTGGAGTCTCATGTACTGTGTTGGTATCCAATATGCCGAAAACACTGGTCTGTCGTTACCCGTTGCAGTTTTTGTATCGGCACATGAATTCTTAGTACATGTGTTCATGTGTGTAGATAGACACACAGATGTTTGGCGTCTTGCCGGCGGGATTTATTCACTTTATGATAGACGATATTATGTTAACTCCTATACCAATGCTTTGAATATGTGTTTCATTTGGAGACGATTTGGGGAAACATCACTATATGTAAGTTAACCGCGGCAGTTGTATAAATTGACTATTCGAAAGCATTCGACCGAACTAATCATAAACTTTTATGTGCCAAGTTGAGGTAGTTAGGCTTTGATGATATTGCAGTAGATTTTTCCGGAGCTACTTATTAGGTCATACGCAATGTGTCTCTATTAATAACATTCAATCTAATATTGCGACTATACCATCAGGTGTTCCACAAGGATCAATTTTGGGCCCTGTGCTTTTTTTAATATCATTTGAACTGCATACAACAGTCGAGAATTCAGAAATACAAAAATATGCTGATGATACGCAAATAATTTACCATTTCAACGCCTCGGGTACATCAATTTTCTGTGGATCATAATCTAGATATTCATCCCGATAAAACAGAAAATAAAAATCGTTGAAGACTCTTTTCAATTATCTATTGATGGTATAACTTTTCGGCATACTGAAACAGCGAAGATTTTAGGCGTAGAAATTGACAACAAATTAAGATTTCGTAACCAGATAGCTAATTTGATGAAAAAGACTTACCTCCCATTTAGAGCTCTTTACTCCATTTGATGCTTGCTGAATTATGAATCTTTGGTTGTCAATTCTCAGTTACTGTGATGTTGTTTATTACCCGTGTTTGGATCAGTTGACAAAAAATTGGCTTCAAATCAACCAAAATAACTGAACGTTTTATTTTTGGTTTACGTAAACAAGATAACGTTAGTGAAAAATAAAGGGAACTGAACTGAGTTATGTTAGATAATCTAATTAAACATAAGTTCTTAGTTTTAGTTCACAAAATTCTGTTGTCATCAAAGCCCGAATATCTAAAAGTCAAATTGCGTTTTAATCTCCAAGTCCGTGACAGGGGTGTTAGAGATCTTTATAATATTTGAACCACTCCACACAATTCCAAAGAGGATTTACATATAACGGAGCTCTATTTTATAATCAGCAAATAGTTTGAAATCAATGTCTTTGCAAAGTTTCCGAAAACATACTAAAAATGAGGCTTGCTGTTTGTTACACAAGTACTATACTTACTACAGATGCAAAATGTATTTTTTTCCTTAGTTATGTATATGTGTTTATGTTATTATTGCTTTCTTTAGGGTTAGCAGACCTGGCTGACTTAGGAACTGATACTATGACACAAAAGCTATGGACCACAATGGACACCAACAGAAACCTGAGCTGAATATATCTAATAATCTCTTTTTATGTTGTAATTGCTGCAAGATATCTGTGCTGGGCATTCCATACAAAATCCTAAAGTCGCAGCCGTGCTATGTATTGTTCTTACAAAAGCTGTTAAATCCATCCTGTTTCAAGTTGCAATCACCTTTAAGATATGTTTCAGAATCTAACAGTTTTGAGACTAATTCATCGTCAGTAATTCAGGGAAAACGGTACTGAGAAATGATCATATGACAGACAAGAGTTAAGTCAACACTATATTGCATATATAAAGTAGGATGTATAATTATTATCAAACTACACTGTTGATATCCTTATGATTTTCCTTAGTTACAATGGGGTTATATCTAAAAATCGCGCGGCTACAATGATACGTTGAATTAACTAGTTATTATGTCAATAATGAGGAGATTGTAATATGCAAACGTTTTAAAATCACGAAACTATATCTTCTTATTTCATTATTCATTCATATTCAGGATTCTAGTCATTTGAGATATGTAATAGTGTACCTACTGAATCCCTACTTGATTTAGCGTATCAATCAAATAAATTATTGCAAACTGCAGTAATCCTTGAACTAGTTGTAGAACTAAAACCGAAGACCATATATTTGTTTGCATATTGTAAAAAAATAGCTAGAAACGTCCGCATTAAAGAAATTGTAAATTGAATCACTGCTTATGCAAATTCTTGATAAAATGGTGCTAATATAGGTATATATGTCGTGACCATATCGTAGAATTGACCATTTCATGATATAGCCGCATTGCATGAAATTTCCAACTAAATTTGACCATATCGTAAAAAGGGTGTCCACATGAAATCCAGAATTTGTTATGAACTCGGTTATTGTTTTTTAAGTACCTACGACAACCATTTTGAGTAGAACTTATTATTTGCCACAACAAAATATTGGAATACACATATATCAGATATCCCAAATTAACGGGGCTCCTACAATCACGAGCACCATCTGCTGAGGTACCGGGGGGGTGAAAACGAAACGATTGTGGGCTGGTCTTAGACGGTGTTCGGCGCTACTTTAAAAGAGGATGACTGCGGGTGCCTACCGAAGTAAATTTTTATAATAACAGAATCGGATTTCGATTAGCGATCTAGCCTCTAAATCGTTTCCTATTTTGGTACTCAGCTAGTGATCATTTAGTATTGTTCTACCCTTGTTACGATCGATATTGTGTTGTTGAATTGTTGTGTTGTACTCTTGTTGGTGTGATTGTTCTTGAGTGAATTTTTTATCAAGGTTGATAATGGACAATAAAAGGTCATATGCGACAATTTTAATTACGAATTCAGTGAGTTTAATTCATGATGAGGACAACAATAGTGTGGAGCAGTTCTACTCTATAATCGCAAAATACATTGGGGTAAGCGAATAAATTATTGCAAGAAGAGGTCATACCATGGAAGATGTGCTGCAGCTGTAGTGAGCCACAATACCGAGCGGCCTGTCTATGTGATCCAAATACATTTGCTTCTAAGCTTAGTCCAACCTCGCTTATCACTAAGATGGAACAAAGACTCAAACGCAAGAATCTTGGAAAGAAACTCAGACCAAGAAAAGTTGATATAAAAATAACTAACAATTCGGATAGCAATTCCAAGGAAAATATATAATAGTTTTATGGCGAATTCTGTCAAAAACCTGATATGAACGACATTGATTTGGAGGTTGCTAAGCAAGAATTTTTAGGGAAACTTAGAAAAAGTGACGACGAGATTTTGCATATCAAACAAGTCACCAAATCACAGGACTGTGCTTTGTGGCGTCTTCATCGGAGGATAAGGTTGCCAGCGTCTCGATTTGGTGAAGTTTGTAGAAGAAGGCAGACAACAAGCTGTAAAGTTCTAGTAAACTCCATCATATACCCAACAGAGTTTTCTAGTAAGGCAATAAAAAAAGGCAATACAAAAATCATTGGACACGGCACTTCAATCTTGTGGTTTGTTTATTGATCGCACACATCCATTTCTGGCAGCATCACCTCCATCTACCTATTACAGTAGACAAGACATGTACTTAACCCAGGTAAAGCCTACCTGTTTATTGCTTTGCAAAAACTACCTAACTGTTTCCTCTTATTTTGACAGCATAAGATATTTTTATGACCCTCGTTCAATTGTTACCATCTACCACAGGACCCTTATGAACATAATTGTGTTTATTGACATGAATAAACGAATTTTAATTTGAGTTCTTGAATTTATTTTAGGAAAGATATAAAATTATTTGAATACATTTTTTCTTAGTCGGAACGCACCGTCGCGTCGCTTGGACTGATAGGACGAAACAGCTTACTTTTTATTATTTCCAAATAAAACTCTTGCAGCGTGCTAAAAACAAAGTCCACAGGGTGCCAGCGATCCACTTTTTCGATTTTATCCACTAGGATCTGTTTAAAATATCAAGAAGTTGAGCACAAATAGTGAGCATTTCAACCCACCATAATTCTTGCGCAAAGACAAAATTTTGTAAAAAGCTCTGATAGCACTCTAGGCAATTATGGCCTGCTTATATCCAGAAAAACATCACGAACTGCAGAACACAAAAGGTAACGGCGAAATGGGTACATTTCACGGGTTATGACTGGAGTGACATCCGAATTTATTCTTCCCTACTGTCGGTAGTTGCAGATCTGTTGGCAGTTGGTGTCAAACCTACAAAGCTTTGGCATACTAGTAACGGCTTTAAAATCGAGGAGTATCAGCGATCGCGATTATGAGTACCTATTTGCAGAACGACTTATCTATGCGGTATTATATGAAATAGGGCCACCAAATTATCTGATTACGTCCTTTCTTAGTCCTTACATTGCGCCGCAACGCTTGGTTTGGCAGCACGAAGCTGAGGTTTGCGCGCTTCGAAATTGACGCTTTATTTTTTGATATTTTTGGATGAAATTTTCACAGAGTGCTGAAAACAAAACCCCACAGGGTGCTATAGAGTCACTTTTATTTTTTTTTCACTAGGTTCTTTTTAAAAAAATCGCGAAGTTGAACAGAAAAAGTGCGCAGTTCAACCCATCATAAAATTTGTGCAAAAACAAAATTTCAAAAAGTGCTCCTATAGCAGCCTGGGCAATTATCTTCTCAACATACTGTATGAATTTCATTCACAAATATTGAAAAATGGAGTGTCAGTTTTGAAGCAGCTGAACCCTTGTAAATGGTTTGAAACTCACTGCGTCGGAGCCGCCTTAAGTTATTAGGTTATTACCCTGTGTGGTCACCCTACTCTGTTTTATTTGACGTATAAACTAAAATGAAATATTACGATACATTTTACATATATGTAGAAGAATATTGTCTTATTGTCCAATAGACAAACGCAATATTTTAGCTAGCACGTGATTTTGACTTCCAATAAATGAATTATGATGTAATTTAAGAGTGAAGTACTAACCTGTGAACCACGTACCGAGCTTTTTGACGTACACGTGAATTCGAGTACCTTTTTGTCGTAAACGACAAAGTCTTTTAATCTCACTTTCTTCCTCATAGGTACTTCGATAAGCAACTTTTTATTAACAACTGCCGTGTTGAAATTTAAACAAAAAGCGTTACCAGCCCCTCTATCGTGTAAATATTTCAGGACTTAGCCAAGCATGCTTGGCCATTTCATGAAGTAGCTACAGGATTAGTTGATCATATTGTTAAACGATTTGTTGTTATTGATCTAGTCAATGCACATACATTTCATGGAATGCAGCCATTTCATAGAATGGTCAATTTTACGATATGGCCACATCATATACACCACACCACACCACATACTCCTAGATTGGTATATGAATGAGGGTAACGGTAACAGAAACATAATTTGACATCTTAGAGCTATTAAAGATGATGAGAAATATATCTTTGCTTACAAACCATTCAGTTATTTAGGTTTCTTGAAGGTAGGTTAATTGGTATTTAGATAACATGGATATGTAAGAAGTGTTCCCACTCAGGAAGCAACAAGGGATAGAGGATGCAAAATTCATGGCGAATCTAATGAAGAACAATGAAGAGGAACTTTTGGTATTACACCGTCTCACGAAAGCAAAGCGATATCGCCTTACTTTTCTCGCAAAAGCGATCGTTACCCTCACACCTAAGCCTAAAATTTAACACCTTACTTAAAGTTGTTTGGATTTATCTGGAGAAACCGAGGTTTAATTCAGTTTTGATATTCCTGTGACGATGCCAACACTCGCAAAAAACATTCGGCAAATCTGATTTTTTGTCGAGAGTCCCAATTGATGCCATCAGTATCAACATTTGTATTCTGATTTGGTGAAACCAGATGTCTTGGGGTTGTTTTGTTACTGAATAAATATACTAATTCTGCACTAGGAGTATATTTTAAGACAATGTTCATTCGATCAAGTAATTATTACAATGACAAGTAATTCAATAAAAATGTCAGTTCAATGATCCATTCAGAATGACTGTTGCTGACAGTAATGTAGCTTTAACCACACATAAAATCGATGATTTTATATGAGAAAGGATAAGAACAGTGCAAATTAGTATTACTCAGTTAAGACAAAACTCAAATGGTACTAATGCTAGCACATTCATTATATCATTGGCCATTGGTTGTTAGACAAGTATATATTATACTATTTTAACCCTGTACAACATAACATCTAAATGTTAGGTCCCACTTCTGAATCACTAATTTTAAGTTAATGAACCATTTAGAAAATTCAATACAAAAACAATTGCATATGTACTATATATTGTATGATGTCATTGTTTATTAATGATAAGCTTTATTGATTTAAAGGCTGGAGCTTAAACATTGTAACTCTCTACTATGCCATTCAATGATAAATACCTATATAGTTAATATAGGTAATGATGAAAGTATATTTTTAATATCATATATTTTAAAAAGAAGAGTTGAATATGGAATGTACACCAAGCATAATATAGTTGTTCATCAATGTCTGAGCCAGCTTGTACGTTTAACTTGATTTTGCAACTTTATTACTCGGTTAAATAATAATTATGTGATGTATGTACGTGCCGGTATTATATACGGAAGCTCGGCAAGCACGAAACCTGACGTTAGTAATCTATTTTATCATTTTAATCGATTTTGCGATGGGATAAATCCAAATGTTCAGTGGCAAAGGTCCCGAAATAGTTTCGAGGTGATTTTGAGAGAAAACTAGGCCTGTATATCGAAGTATCGCAGCAGTTTCTTTGTTTGAATGACAGTCTAAAGCAGCCATTTTTCACACATCGCACAACATTCATACCCGTAGTGACCTTCACTGGGGTTAAACGTGATAGGTGTGGACACATTCCAGGTTCCAGATGTTGGAACACTCACCTTATCTATGAAATTATCTTCATTTATGGAATGAGTCCTGAGTTTGTGAGTGAGGAATTTCAGCATGTTTTGCTTTTTGGCCGCCAGCTTGTCGGCCGGGATTGTACGGAGCTTACGCGAAAATGAGGTCACAGCGGCACTGATCACAAACTTTGCGGGGGTAGCATCACAAACTGGCCGACGATCCGTGGGGTTTTCTGGTGGTCGTATGTCACGTCAGAATCAACCCGGTCTTACTACTACTCGTCTACTACAATACTATAGTCAGCTGCGCTTACGCGACGGCAGAGAAGCCAGATTGTGCGGCCACGATTTCCGCGAACAGGTAGTCTGCAAGGATCCCACGTAGGGCTCTTCTTGGACGGTATCTATATCAGGCGCAATAAATTTCAGGCCAGGTTTAAGCATTTTACCCGCTG